TGTGTGTCTGTGTGTGTGTGTGTGTCTGTATCTGTGTGTGTGTGTGTGTGTCTGTATCTGTCTGTGTGTGTCTCTGTGTGTGTCTGTATCTGTCTGTGTGTGTGTATCTGTGTGTGTGTATCTGTCTGTGTGTGTCTCTGTGTGTGTCTGTATCTGTCTGTGTGTGTCTCTGTGTGTGTCTGTATCTGTATGTGTGTGTCTCTGTGCGTGTGTCTGTATCTGTATGTGTGTGTCTCTGTGCGTGTGTCTGTATCTGTCTGTGTGTGTGTGTCTCTGTATCTGTGTGTGTGTGTCTGTATCTGTCTGTGTGTGTGTGTCTCTGTATCTGTCTGTGTGTGCGTGTGTCTCTGTATCTGTCTGTGTGTGTGTCTGTTCTCTGTCTGTGTGTGTCTCTGTATCTGTCTGTGTGTGTGTCTGCATCTGTCTGTTTGTGTGTGTGTGTCTCTGTATCTGCCTGTGTGTGTGTGTGTCTGTTCTCTGTCTGTGTGTGTCTCTGTATCTGTCTGTGTGTGTGTGTGTCTCTGTATCTGTCTGTGTGTGTGTGTGTGTGTGTCTCTGTGTGTGTGTGTGTCTCTGTATATGTCTATGTGTCTGTATCTGTCTGTGTGTGTTTCTGTGTGTGTCTGTATCTGTCTGTGTGTGTCTCTGTGCGTGTGTCTGTATCTGTCTGTGTGTCTATCTCTGTGTGTGTGTCTGTATCTGTCTGTGTGTGTCTCTGTGCGTGTGTGTGTCTATTATTTACCCCTTAATATCCTACATCCAGATCTTAGATAAGTGTTAGTATTTGCATTGGTTTGGTGTTACTAAATACTCCACATTTCCATGATTGGTTTTAGTCCCATAGATAGACATGACACGACCCGCGACCCGGCAACGGATGAAGCGGAAGAAAATGTATGGAAATAGAATATAGAGAGAGAGATACTTTATTGATCCCTGTCGGAGAAATGCAGGAGTCCAGAGGCAGAAACACAAACACATACAGATTCTAACTAACAACAACAGAACATGTTCACCTCAGACGGACTCGTTGTACAGTCTGACAGCTGCAGGAAGAAAGGCACTGAATGTCTTTTCTTTCACCTCTCTCTGAGCTGTTCTCGTTCTGCTGCTCAGTGGTTTTAAAATAATAATAGAATCGGCGGAGGCTGCTCCGGGCGACTCAGAGGAAGACGACGGTTTAACTGTTTAGCACAAGGTTAACTTCATTATAATAAGTTCTTTAAAGTGTGTTTGCAGAGGAGTTAAAGGGGACATGACGCGGAAAATCTGCGAGTACTTTTCTCACAGTTTTAATTTTGTCAAGAAATGTTAGTCCCACTTTAGTTTAGTCCTCACTAATTAACAGCTAATTGGAGGAGCCTCTAGGTGGAGGTCTGTGCTCTACGAGTGCTTTTTTAAACATAATTATAAGTAGGAACAATCTGCACAAAAAGAAAGACCAAACTCTAAAGTGTCCAACACACCTTTTGGTAAATAGTCTTTTTTGTGTGCACTTAAACTAAGCCTCAAGTACAGTATGTTATTGCACCTGCCCTCAGCCTAAAGTACAGTATGTTATTGCACCTAACCTCAGCCTAAAGTACAGTATGTTATTGCACCTGCCCTCAGCCTAAAGTACAGTATGTTATTGCACCTAACCTCAGCCTAAAGTACAGTATGTTATTGCACCTGCCCTCAGCCTAAAGTAGTCTTTTATTGCACTTGCCCTCAGCCTAAAGTACAGTATGTTATTGCACCTGCCCTCAGCCTAAAGTACAGTATGTTATTGCACCTGCCCTCAGCCTAAAGTACAGTATGTTATTGCACCTGCCCTCAGCCTAAAGTACAGTATGTTATTGCACCTGCCCTCAGCCTAAAGTAGTCTTTTATTGCACTTGCCCTCAGCCTAAAGTACAGTATGTTATTGCACCTGCCCTCAGCCTAAAGTACAGTATGTTATTGCACCTAACCTCAGCCTAAAGTACAGTATGTTATTGCACCTGCCCTCAGCCTAAAGTACAGTATGTTATTGCACCTGCCCTCAGCCTAAAGTAGTCTTTTATTGCACTTGCCCTCAGCCTAAAGTACAGTATGTTATT